TCAGGAGCCGAAAAAAAGCAAACATCCATGAGATGTGAAAACCGTTGCTATGCATGTGCCTACCGGTGATAGCGTCAACTGTGAGAAAGCTTAAACCAATTGCACACATCCCTCACCGGATTGTCGGGCTTACTCGGCTTGCTCTAAGGAAAAATTTGGTCCCTTTAAGTTTTGCCAAAAAACTCAGCGAGCTTTCTTATCAAGCACTTCTTATAGGAGGATGAAACATAAAATAAGGCGACCGATCGACTGGAGTGCTAAAGGTCTCGCAGTAATGTAACTCGCTCAACTTTGTCACAATGTCATCTACGGCTCACTCATAACCTGAAAATGGCACAAGAAAACATACATTTCCAATCAAAGAACTACACTAGTCTGCAACCATTGGGATAAGAACTCTATTACCAAACTATGGGAATTAATTCACTGGAATATCTTCACTTGTAAAAATAAGCATCGCGCTTGAAAGGAAAACTGAGTTCTTTACTTTACTTTGATAACTATCAATTTTTAACCAAATCTTCGCCTAGACATTGATGATATAGAAGTTGCGAATCTGGAATATTAGACAATACAAAAAGCTCCAAACAAGAGGAAGTGAATCACAACGAAACACCATGCATTTTTCACATCTCGCTCGACAAGCAATGTTGCGATGGCTGATTTTTTGCACTCCTTCGTGCCTCATTCGCAAATAATATGCTGTTCAGAGAATTTGTGCACCGTTCAGGTACGACTTAACGTGGGAGTTCACCATAACAGCCGAAATGATCTTGCAAACTTGCAAAGATGTCCAAGCACACGAAGTCAATCTTCCAGAAGAGATTGTAGCTTCCTACGACATGAAATGTTTACTTGTATGTGGACAAAATGACTCCGCAATTGCCGCTTGCAAACTTTCATTATTGAGAAGACAAATTTGATAGGTGCAAGCTGGCGCAAGCAAGATTTGTAATCGAGTAATAATATAGAATAATCATAATAATAATATAGAATAATCATGCTCGATTACACCCCCCTGCCAAATTCCAGCCCCCTAGCTCAAATTTTGCAAAAAATCGATAAAATCGACATCGATCGATAACGAAAAGTGGACTGTGACACCCGCCGGGGCCCGAAGTGTATGTGTGCCAAGTTTGGTTCGGATCGGTTAAGAAATGGAATTTTCTATTCGGAACATACGGCGGAGCCGGGTATGCCAGCTAGTAGGGATATAAAATTTGGTGTACATATTATTCAAAAAGTAGCAAATACATCACAGCATTTAAATTTTGTGGTAGCATCTTTCCTTGTTAACGGAAGCCTTCAAACTGTTGGCGATTGCGACTGCTGAGGCACGCAGGCAGTCATCATCAATTTTGTCCCAATTTTTCATGAAAATAAATCCTATCGCTTAGAAAATGTGCTGTATGATGGAGCAAGCTTTCAGCTACATCACACCATGACTAGAAAAATTTGTGACTTTTATGGTTAAAATTAAGGAAATTTGAATGCAGGCACGTGTAAATCTCATGGTGGAGTTTTGGACATATTTGCGGAAAATGAAAACAGAAAATCGGCTACAAGGTGTTTCAAAACCAAGTTCGTCATCCACGTTGCATTAGATTCCCATCTAGAAAACATGCGAAGAAGATATTACTCCAAATTTAGTAACTGCTGCAATTCTACAGATTTGAAACTAATTTCAAAGACATAGTTGCAGTGGCACGCATTAAAAATTTCCAGGTATCTTCTCACCTCTCTTGACGAAAAAGATTTTTGAATGCAGCCATTATAGTGATAGTAGTGCAAAGTCTTTTCTATATTGTGGATATAAATTTGCACCGCGGTGTGCCAAATTTTTGCAGTAGCGGAATAAATTTCAAACTAGGAATACCTTTTTGCTTTTTGAGGTAGAAATGGTTTGATAATTTTATTCTTTTCAGTCAAACATGAAGATCATTTTTTACCCCCAAGGATATAGTTTACGAAGAATGATTGGAGGATTCTTTGGTATAAATTTGAGATCAAATTCACCAGTGATTGTTGAGTTAAAGCAGTGCAAAATTAGGCTACAAGACTTTTGGGACACCCTGTATTTTCTTTCAGAAAGACTTTTTGGCGCTAACTTTTTATGATAAATGAACAAAACACAATAACCCACATAATTTATAAAAACTGCCCGAAATGTCCACTTTTGGCTCTTATGCATGCCTCCATTCTGGGTATCACTGAAGTGACGGCGCGCCGCAAGTACTCGTGATACCCTCACAGGGACTCAAATCATTCTATGCTTTTGTGAGTTCTCTGCAAAGGCCATTCACAGTGTCGACCTTCTTGCTTCTCAACCTCTCCTCTAAGTAACCCCAAACAGCAAAGTCAGGATTGAGATCGGGACTGTTGGGGGGGGGGGGGGCATTCTTTCGTCAGATATCCTGGCACATTAGCATCTAGGAAGGCGATAGTGCTCTTTGCTGCGTGCGCAGGTGCCCAGTCCTGCTGGTACATCCCTTTTCCGTTTTTTCGCCTCCATGGGACCACAGCTTTTATGAGCACTTCTTCCTGATAGGTCTTTGCATTTATCTTCACATTCCGGTTGATAAAATTGAAGGCGTCTTTACAGTGGCGCTTACCCCTGCCCAAACCATCACTCCCTTTGGAAAACGTTCGTGTAACAATTTTCCGTTTTCTGGTGTTCTTCAGACTTGGGCTGAGTAGTTGCCGTGCATTTTGACTGTTTTTGGCTGTTTCGATAGTGAAAATTTTTTCATCCGAAAACATCAAGTCTTCTACGCGGCACGCCTCAAAGGTGTGCAGCATTTCTTTGCAAATTCTTAGCCTCTTCAGCTTGGCGTCATCTAATAAATATCGCCCTTGGAATAAACGATTACTGCGAGGGCCCAAAGAATTTCTGACAATACTTCGAACTGTTGACGAGAGATAGACAAGCTCTTGCAATGAATTCATACTAACTCCGTCGTTTCGGGCAATTCGATTCTTGATGATGGCTCGTCTACGAGTGTTGACAGAGCGGGGACGGTCCGTTGGTTTCTTCACATTGACATGTCTCACTGACTTCCACTGCTTGATGATCCTCTGCACCGTTCGGAGTGAGACTTTTAGCGGAATGAGATCACCGAAGCACTCTGTCCGTCGGCTGCTAGGCGAGCGATTGATGCACGGTGATCACAGGGCCTCATGAGTACACCAAAGCAAATCAATTTTGCATCAAAAGAGAGCTGAGAGATGCCACTACTTCGATCACGTTAAGACAGGCAAAATTAACTTCATTTAACAGTGGAAAATTAACGGCACAAAACGCGCCAATACTTTTCAGCCACCCTGTATATTTGTTGCGAAGTAAATCATTGCTGTTACGATCCTTTTCAAAACTATATTTCGTTTGAATCGACGTCTCAGTGTCTCAAATGGCAGCAATTGCGCGGACACTAAGCGCTATAAAAGCCCCTCCCCTGATTTCTTTTGTCTGAACTGCAATTTAAGCGGCAGAGTCTGGAAGATCCTGGTTAAAATACTCAAATATGCCGCTTCAATCCCTAATAGTTTCACGGTTGATATTGTTTAGATTCAAAAAATGACCTAGAAAACCACGCTCGCGTTTTCACCTTTCTTTGATTTTATTAAGTGTAACATCTCATTAGATCATGACTGCGGTTCAAATACCCAAATTCGTATTTTCAATGAACGATTGCTTCTCGCTGAGTGAAGTTCGCATATGTGTTGTCTGGCTAGGGCCCTAGCTATGGCGGGTGCATCAACCAGTTTACTTGTCTTCCCCTCATGTAAATAACTAAATCGAAATCTAGTGGACAGTGTATCGAGGAATTCTAAGTGTGCCCTAGTATATTTTGCCATTTAGAGGGAGCAGCATCATCCCTCGCTTCGTCGACACCAAATGACTAGGAGCCTGGCTCTTTCCTCTGCTTCCACAGTGGTTGGGTCCGTACTGAGAAATTTCAAAAGTTTCTCAAACAGGGGCAGAGCGTCAGGTAGCTACACACGTTATCGAATGCAGCTGGACAATCACCTGATCCCTTTCAAAGTCATTCGAGTTTGTAGCTGCCACATCATGGATAGCAGTTCTGATCTTGCTCCGTAGTTGTAGAGGCTGACCTACAACGGATACAACGGTGTCTGAAGTCGATGCAGAGATTGATGCACTCTTAGCGGCTTTAGTGTCTTTAGCCTTAGCCGGCACTGGACAAAAAATAGCTCTAACCACTCGGTGTGAGAGTAGAATAAAGAATGATATGGTTCCATAATGATAGTTGAATATCTTATAATGACTTATAATAACGGGCTAAGGATGTTTACGTGTTTTTGTGTGTGTAGGTCTGTTTGTTTGTCACGAAATTCCTAGAACGTGTTCCAGCCAACCTCCTACCCAAATTTTCCACAGCGCATGCTAGCAACATGAGAGTCCACTATACAAATGTATGAGCGGATCTTTTGAGTGAATCCCTCAAAAAATGCGTGCCAATCGGATCCACTTGGCTTTTGGCCAGTGAAATTGAGCCTATAGCACAATTTTTGCAAAGTCGCGGAAATGTACAAATCAAAGTGCAAGTCATGGACTTTAGCTCAAAAAGGTGAACTCAAGTTTATTACTTCGCGAAAACGGAGTCAAAAAGGATTGGTTGCGTAAACATTCAACTTGCCAAGACTTCAATCGATCATTTGAGAAGATTTTTGCACAGAGATGTAGTCCACGGTGATTATTGTAGATTTACGCGAAATTACTGATCTCATATGGAAAAACTTTTAGAAGAAATAGTTGTTCACATATCATTCGTGATAGTCCGCATAACGCAGTGAGTTTTAATGTCATTATTGTGCGGAAATGAGTAAGGCGTACAGATAGTAGGACCAGCCTCTGCGAACCAGAGGTGACGTACTGGTGATAAATAAACAAGTAGTTCAAAAGCTAAAATTCTTAGGTTGGTACATCTCATTCTTACAAAGGGTTTCCCGCAATCATTTAGCCAAGAGATAACGGTACACTATATTTTCTTATCATCAAATTCATCATCGTCGCGAGGATCCATTACTCTTAGGTCCGGTCGCGCGCATAACCAGTGTGTTGTCATAGTTCCTTTACCCTATAAACAGCAGAGTTGGATGTAAACTTAGGTGCATGCTGCAGCAATACCTTTATCATAATCTCTCCCCGACATGTGGTCTCATAGCCAGGAAACGTTTTCATCAGGAATTTTTCGGCTTCATCAGACATGTGAACACGTCCAGCTGGAATTTGCGATGTTACCGTTTTGTTTCAAGAAACTGAGCTGATCGTTAAAGTAGTTATGAACTACAGACGTTTTCCGTTGCTCTCCATTCGACTGGCGGTGTTTACAGTATCCCCGAAAAGACAATATCTTGGCATTGTTAGACCGACCACACCAGCTACCACCGGACCTGCATTACATTTTCAAAAATTGTCATTGGTCATATGTCTTACCAGTGTTTATTCCAACGCGTATGTTGAGGGATTCACGCGGCAAGTGTGGTATACGAAAGTTCTTCAGTCCACTAATTAGCTCTAAAGAAAGATCACAGATGGCCTTTATATGCTCGACGCCGTTCCTGTTCGGAAGGCCTGAGGAGCAAAGGTAAGCATCTCCAATAGTTTCAACCTGAAAACAGATATGCTCTTTCGAAATTTCGCAAGACGTTTATGACTCTCACCTTATAAACGTCATGACGATTGATGACTTCATCGAAGAATGTGTAAAGCCCATTCAGAAGAGCAACAACCTAAAGATTACGGTAAGTTATGGACATTTATGGGGTGTTTACCTGCATAGGAGTTCCTTTGCCTGCTATGGTAGTAAATCCTACGACATCAGAAAAGAATATCGATACTTTATCATAGCTTTCAGGATCTATGGGCACTCCAGATTTTAGCTTTTCTGCTACTTGTCTGAGAATTGAATACTGTACGAATTATTATCAACGTAGATAAAAATGTCAAGCACTTAAAGGCAGCATAGGTAAGCCTAGTGTTTGAATTCCTTATGTAACTGACTGAGACGTCCTAGCAACTACGGCTTATACAATTTCTTCTTGCCGGAAAACTCGACTCTAAACCTGTCGTTTAGATCACTTCCGCTTAACCGAAGGACGCTAATTGGTCCGCTTGGGAGCACGATCTGGGCGAGAATCACGTTGATTGTTCAGTCAAGTATTTTAAGAGGTTCAAATGTGCCTGGACACTTTTCTAAGGCACCCGCCATACTTACCCCTCTTGATCCGCTTGATCCGCTTGATCCGCTTGCTCCGCTTCTTGCAAGACGCGTGCAAAACGCGCACACACAGCAGTCTGTCATTTGGCGTCACGTACAGCGAATTTGCCTAACCACCGAGATTGCTTTTTTACCTACGCGGCGCCAGATGACAGACTGCTGAGTGCGCGCGTTTTACACGCGTCTTGCAAGAAGCGGAGCAAGCGGATCAAGCGGATCAAGCGGATTAAGCGGATCAAGCGGATCAAGAGGGGTAAGTATGACGGGTGCCTAAGTAAAAGAAAATATAAATTTGAGCACCTTGGTAACATCCTATAGAGCAGAACATCACTCTTCTTCTTCTCTTCCACAAGCTCCTTCATTCTTTCTTCAACCTCTGCTTCCAGTGAACTAGCATAATTTTCCAAAGTATTCATTACGTGGTCCATTAGATTCAACTTCCTGTAGTGATTATGTATCGAAGATTTTTCAGATCTTTGCTTCTTTTTCCAAAATACGTACTTTCCTGTTTGCATCGATGAAAGTAAAGATTTCACTTTTTTCATCTCAGGACGATGCCGTGGCCATTCCGACCAACATTCGCGAATCAAATTAATCTACAATTTACTGTTTACCCAAGAAAGAAGCAGTATGTGCACTGACCAGCGATGGTATAATTTCAATACTCTCATGTATCTCCAGTGCTGGTCTAAATGGGTCCATAGATGGTTTTGTGACTTTGCGGATGATATCTGTAAAGTCATGGAATTTACGCACCTTCAATTGGTATTTTTTGTTCACCTTCGGCATTCTCTTTTCTGTTGTCAAGATCCCAAGCGGTTTTCTTGGTCACCAATTCACTGGCAATTATAGCAAAACTGGAAAGATGTTAGTTCAGGGACAGAATAACCGAGGAGAAAGATGGTAAAACACCTGTATACGTCTCCGGGTTGGGTACCGATATCCTCGACCTCTCCGCGCAGAATTTCTGGAGCTGTCCATAACTGTTCTCAATAAGGCTGTCATTTATAAAATCCTCAGTACCACTTCTTCACAATAAATTTTTCCATGCACTGGCAATCAAAATCATCTCACCTTCTTCTGTTCTCCTCTCGTATTCTTTTATGCACGACATTCCATAATAAGAGATCTTCACTTGCCATCTGTCATCCACCATGCAACTCTAAATAGCATTTTTTTCCACTCTTGTTGATTTTAGCAGTATTTTAGCTGTAAAATCAAAAAACCTGAGAGGTAAGACGCCCATGTACACCCATAGACGATTCGTGAATGAAGTGAAGGCCCTGAATTTTATACTTTAAATAGAAGCGAAATAAATTGCACACTAACCGATGCTATATCCATCATCATCGAACGAATGAATACTGTATCCATAGGTAGTGATCCTTTTGTTATTACTTCCTGAATATGAATTTTTACCCATTTTTGGATTCATTTTCCAGTAGAAAGCATCTTTCTAAGAACAGTGTTCCGCGCTCGTTCACAATTTGAAATTCTCTACCTGCAGAGTTCCTCGAGAACAAAATTTCCATAGGGAGTAAATTAGCCCAGTGTCTACAGCCACACCAACAAACCGATTCAGATTGTCATAGTCGATCTGGCGCATCTGCAAACAGTTAGCCATAAGTAAGCGTTCTGATTTCTCGTGTGATATTGCATATTTTATTCTCATTGATAAATGCATGAGATCAATTTTCAAATCCTCGCAAAGTAGCCTTACAAAAAAATATTTTTGAAATGGCCAAAACGTAAGTTTTTTCTCATAGAGGGTAATTGATGCTGGCTTTTTATACGGAGAGACCATTGTAGCTTCATCCTCTTCTCCTTCTCATGAAAGGAATACTTCTAGGTCATTGTACATTCCACACTTGTATACTTTCTTCAGTTTTTTCCTCTTCTATTCTATACATGAAAAAAAATTTAGATATCTGAAAAAGGACCTTTCTGAACTCAGCATTTGTCACTTCATCGAATCTCAATACGATAGTATGCTTGAAAGCGGTCAGTGGTTCAGTTCCATGGTAGAAATAGCACATTTTATCAGTTTCGGTTCGCCAATCAAGAATCTCTGATTGGTCACCGGATCTTCCCGATAATCCCGAGACTGCTGATGTAAATGACTGCGATCTACTCTGAAAATAACAAGCACTCTTTTGCAAGGTAGTCTTACTTCTGCTGGTTAAACTCACTTTGTGCACAGGTTTTCTGAGTTTATGAAAATGTATTTTCCAAAGGGCATCTTGCCGTTTCTTCTCGTTTTCTCGTTCTCTGTAAAAGTGCCCGATTGAGGATTCTGAAGCTTCCAGAACATTTTTGAAAAATGTGGAGCTTACCTCAAAGCGATGAGAATCACAACAACAATCGCAATTATGAGCAACGCTGCTATGCATGCGGCTATTATCACATATATTCGATATGCGTCGAAGAATGATATCGGACATTCTGATCCTGCAATAAAAGTTTTTGGCAATAGCGTGCGTTCGTTAGACTGCGTCTGTAGTTGTCCATGCCAGCGCCTTCCATAGTCGTGCTAGCGCCGTGCTATCTCGGTGCCAAATGTTGATCAATCAAGGCAGGGCGCTTCCACTTGTCTGGCACGGCACTGGCACAGCGCTGGCACGGCGATGGAACGTTGCTAGCACAGCGTTGGAACGGCGCTGGCACAGCCTCGGCACGCGGACAACTCTGAACGCTGCCTAATTGATATTGTTGTATCTACTAACCAGTATAGCCGCAAGGTGGCACTGTAGCAGGAGCAGGTCTACCGTTCCAAACTATCTGTCTTTCTTGTCCAAGATTGTAAAGCGGTACAAGAGTCTGATATTGTTTCACAAACATTATTGTAGAAATTAGTTGTTTTCTTTCTACTCACCGTATTCACATACATATCCAGCTGTATGAGAATCAATCTTTTCGGTTCCTCTTCGCTGCCAATCCCCGTTAAGATGAAGTTGGGAATTCTTGATCCATCCCAAGCTTCGATTATGTCACCAAGAGCTCCTGAAAAGTCCTGTTGCGCTTTAGCCAACTGGGAAGAAGGAGGGAGTCAAGTTTTACCTCGATAGATTCCTTTCGTTGAGTTGAACATTGTTGCTCCATCTCTAATATCTCTGTTTGCCGTTAATGTTCTGTTTATTACGTTTGCATACACAATCATAGCATCGTGAAGCTGTGGAGCATATTGGGCCATCTAAATGGGAGGTTCAAATTAGCAGTGGAGCAAAAAGTGGTTTCGAAGGCAAGGTCCAAGCAAATTTGACCGTTCTTTTCTTATGTGCAAGCTAATTGAAACGTTTTGACTGAGCTAAAACCCAAGCGCCAGCTTTTACGAAGCATTCTCAGCCGAAAAATTCGACTTTAAAGCCACGCCCAGACCGTACTCCAATCAATGTCACTGGGTATGCGGAGTACGGTCCGGGCCAGAGTTTAGAGTCGAGTTTTTCAGCCTTGAACGGACATTATGAGCTGCCGTGGATGACTACTCAGCTAAGGTCTACGGACAAGTGTCCAGCTAAGATGTCCGAGTACCCAGATTTCTAAGACAGTGCTGTCATTTTCTGAACATAAAATATTCATCTTCGATTGCTAACCTCCCAATCTTCGCCATCTTTACACTGAGTGCAGGGAATATTCAATTGTTTTGTTTTTTGGGCAGCTTGTTTGCTGAAGGCAGCTAGTCCCGAACTTGCGTCAAAATCGTTGTCCACCTGCAAGAAAGTAAAACAGATCAGTTTTTTGGTGAGTGTTGGCATGGTGCCAAGGGTTACATCGCTCAGCATGAATGTTCTCTCGAATGCTTCCCGAGCCTCTTTGTCTCTTCCATCGGGTTTGACTGATCTGTCTTCCCAGACATAGAGCGTTTGATTGCCCGTGTTTGCAATTCCTTAACATCTAAGCATAAAAATCGGTAGAAAAACAAAAAATCAGCTGAAAACATACTGTATCCAGAGTCCAAGAGGTCCGCAAAAATGTAAACGTATTCGTCATTCAGCATATGCTGATCCTTGGCGGTAAGCATGAATTTTCTCTTATTTTCCGGCTTTGACAGGCAAACAACGACTACTGTAAACAAGAAAATGTGTTTGAGTATAGCATAGTAAATTTGACTGTGGATAATAGTGCCCTTGCGGTGACAGCAACATTTACGCGGAAAGAAATAACATGCCTGTAAGTGCTGCCAATTTGCTTGCAATCTGCGCGTAAAAAATGGCCATATAACGCATATAGTCACTGTTTACGCGAAAGTGTTGTTGGCAACGCAGGAACCCTCAAAATTACTAGGCTAAAAGTCCGAAAAAAATTTTCACGCACTTCTTGCTTGTGAGGCCGTCTGAGTGAGTGCGTCGCTAATTTCCGACAAGGACATATTTCTCATTTCGGCTATGTTTGCAATGTTGAAATCATCATCTCGAAACACGGCTTTCTAAAAATTTTTGATGAAAAAATCTGCTTGAGAAGTTGTTCTTATTGTCGATCTACCTGGACATCTGCCAAGAAGATTGGACATTTCTGTGTGTCTTCATCTGCTGAATAAATAAATGCAAACGAATCCCATTTGAAATGGTCCATAATGCATAAGAGGGCTAAGCTCAGACTGCAAATGAATTTTGGTAGGGTTTTTTGTGAATAAGCAGGCTTACGTCAGATAATTTGGCGTGAGGACAATGCATGTAGGAAAGCGAACTGTATCAGCGAGTTCATTAGCTGTTGTAAAGCCCCAAGTATAGAGTGGCAAATTGTAGAAAGCAGCAACGGATGCGACAGCGATTGCAGCTGAGAAAAAATTATGTAGAATCTTGTGCATTGCACACCAGGCCCGTCATTTCACGACATGTGTGCTTAACAAGACACCTATTTCTGGGAACTTCTTCTAAATTCACCTTTTTGTTAAGCAGAAATGGTTGCTAATCTTTTTCAGCGATGTGTCCCATTTGAACACTTAAGATTCATATAAATTAAATGAGCATATTAGTTGTGGTGTGATGCCGTGTATGGTGTGCAAATACACATATAAGGTTGCATGACTCGACCTCAAACATAATTGGCAATCAAAATCACTTACGAACGTTGCAAGTCGGTCCAAAAATGACATCAACCTTGAAATCACGAAAAAGTTCAATCGCATAACCAACAGCATATTTTTCCACGCAGTTGCCGTAACGGACAGTGACGCTAAAGTTGTGTAGTTGCACCACACTCATCTTTCTAACTCGATTTTGGACTTACTTGAAGTCGTAACCATCAAGTAAATGGTTTTGTCGAATTCTGTCGATAGCTAGGTAAAATGCTGCAATGCTGCCTTCATAACCAATAAATGGAGCGTAGCTGAAAATAACAACAACATATTAATCTGCGTGGGACCAGCTAGGAGGCGAAGTGAACATACGTAGGGTCATCTTTCACAAATAATGCTCCAATATTTATGGTCTTCCTTCTCGCTGGAGCAATTGGAGGAACCCTGGTTGGCTGTTGGGTGCTGACAACCTCAAAAATTACTTTTTTCTCTAATTCACAGTTTTCAAAAATCATAGTATCAAACCTGTAGAAGGTACAGTAAGATAGCCACAGCTAGCATCAGCTTAGACGATACATAATAAAAATTGTGTATAAGATTTGTTTGTCATGTGTCCCGACCATCTAATATAACATTATTGACATTTGGGATTTCTTCCGGAAGCCCTCTGTGAAGGTGTTTGGCCCAGAAATCTCTAAAGTAGTCAAAACAAAGGGATATGGATTCGTCATAAATGTAGAGAAAAGCTTATGATTTCTAGCATCTGCAGACGATTATAAAACAGAGCTTAATACTTCCTGGTGGGAAGACCAATAAAAAAGGAGCAGAAAAAAGAACAAAAAAAAAACAAAAACGGAAACCACTTCGTAGCGTCTAACTTCATGAGAACTACGAGGCATGTCTACGAATGCCGGCAAGTCTATAGTCGCCGCCTTTCAGCCGCCAATCTCCTTGAAGCAAAAAGTATCAAAAGTACATTTAGATTTTGAAAACATTTTTCTAGATTTTTAAAAAAATTGTTGTTTTGAATGTATGAGGTGCCTTCACAAGAAGCTTAATTGTGTTCGCTTCGAAATTGTTATGTTTTTTTGCTTTCGAATCGAACAAACAAGCATTTTGTGTGAGCATTCATCCGAAGAACATAGGTTGTTCAATACTAAAAATCAAGCAAACACGGTGCGGGTTCGGCAAGGAATCAGCCATGATTTTGTTTGTTATAAAGTATCGTATTGTGATAGAAAGTAATAAAGTCTCTTGTCTAAATTAATGCTCAAGCTATTTCGCGCCATGTGCGCTGAATTAATCACTGATAGGGAGTTTGTTGATTTGAGACAAGTCCCTACACCCTAATTTTTTTTGATATTAGGTTTACGCGCTTTTACAAAGCTCGTCAGATTCGAAATTTCAAGGATCATGAAACCAAAAACAAAGCCGTTCTCAAACTGAATCAAACGCATCAAGCCAAAAGATACCCAGATTGTTGACCTCTAACGATCCTCAGTTTCGGCTTGATGCGTTTATTCCAGACTGAGTACGGCTTGCACCCTTGAAATTTCGCATTTGACCAGCTTTCGAAAAATGCGTAAATTTTCTTCACTTAGATACGAATTGAAGTACTTGCACTACATTTTTTGTAGTCTACTACCTAATCTACATTATGCCCAAAAATGAATGCGCGTCAAGTTAAAAGAGAAAATTTGCGAGAAAACAAAACTCATGTGCAAACCTAATATTTTATAACTCAAAGTAGAAAGTGCAGTTTAAAATGTCAGCATACATCTTCTATTCGACTCCAGCTCTGAGCAAATCATATGCACCTAGAAATGAAACTTCTCAGCACCACTACTATGTTCTTTCTGGTTTCCATACTTCACAGTATAGGCTTTACTTACATTCGTCCTTGTTTACTGTTTCAAAATGTAAAATTTATACTGCTCTTAGTGTCCCAATATAACTCAAATCTGTGAAGATTAGGAAAATTCGCAGCAAATCAAAGATGCAATATTGTAGACCTATCAAACGATAAATATTAGGTTGTCAGAAAAAATAGTGTCGCATGGCATCCTACCGCGGCAGAATGACCACAAAAAACAGCGACTGGGGTATCATCTGATAGAGCAAAGTAAGCTCTATAAGATAATTTACAAACCTCCGCGCAAATCTTGCTTCACCTGAAGTTCGAATCCGAAATGTAAAAAATTTCGGATACCTGAAAAATCTTATCTCCGTTCACAGACGGATATCCAATGTGCACAGGCATGTACGCTTCACAATAGACATCACCTGTATAGTTTGTGGTAGTCTTCCAGGGGGACGAGTGGAGTAGTGGTATGAGGCGCCGCTATGACCAGATCGGACACAGGTTCGATCCCCGCCCCGGAGGGTAGAGGGCCAACCAAGCCCTCTACCCTCCGGGGCCAGTAGATTAATACCAGAGTAATCTGGGAGGATAAAAGCACTGACCTGGAAACGGCTGGCCCCCGCAAGTCACTGTAATAGGCTCGCACGCATACAATTGCCTCTTCGACTACGAAGTTAGTGTGTGCGTTCGGCGCATGCCCTCAGAGGGTATTGAAGACGCCGAATCCTTTATCCTTTATCCTTTAGTCTTCCATGGCTAAGTAAGTACCACCAACAAGAATAGGTCAAAAGTGCGAATACATCGTGTTTTTCGGTTTTTTTTGCATACATTTTGATTTTTCTCGAAGACCAGCGCTTGTCCAAAGCTGAAAATTCATGGTTATACTCCTAGAGGTTCATACTATAGAATCACCTATGTGAGAGAAGCTCGGGATTGCTTTGGCAAAAATATGCCGAATTTCGTTTTCTCAATTTTCAACCATGGAAAAACCGCGAAAATGTGCATACGAATGTCTCGTGCAGTGAGTTCATGCGCGAGCAAGTTAGGGGTTCTCAAGACTTTTCTGAACGGAGATTCTACGATTTTTTCCGTTTTTTCAGATCTTAAGTGCCCCATTTTTCGCTCCAAACTTGACGCAAATCAAACCTGGTGCGAAGGTTTGAGATTCATTTTGTAGAGCTTGCTCTGATCTATCGGTTGATACCCCATTTACCTACTTTCGTGCGCATCCTGTTGCGATATTGCATGATAAACCGCGTTGCGACATTATTTTCCGGACAACCTAATATTTACAAGAAGCTCTTAGTTTGAGATTATGTTGATGTGTAACAATCTTATACGGAAAATATTCATTTATGCAATAGAAATGCGATTTTTATTCATTTTCCCTCGATTTCCTCTTCATCTCTTGGATCCATTATTCGCAAGTCAGGTCGTCCACAAAGCCAGTGCGTTCTCATTATACCTTTTCCCTGAGATAATCATGGAATTTGTAAGTGAGAAACCCAGATGATAAAGCTAAACCAACCTTAATGAGCACTTCACCACGACAAGCAGTCTCATAGCCATTGAAGGTGGTCATAAGAAAATCTCTTGCATTTTCTGACATATGCACATGGGCAGCTGAAAAACTACCATCAATTTTTGGCTATTGAGAGAGTGTAAACTTACCTTTCCCATTGCTTTCCATTCGACTGGCCGTATTTACGGTATCTCCAAAGAGACAGTATCTTGGCATTGATAATCCGACAACTCCAGCCACAACGGGACCTGAGATTGGCAGATATTCATTAGCTTTTTTAATTTTGTACCAAAATTAAGGAAATATGTGAGGAAATAAGACTATTTGGGGCTCTACATAATTAATAAATGATGGAAAAGAAGACCACTGCCCAAATGGCAGCCTATGATATTTATTTTTGGACGAGAAAAGAGCTTTGAACTCCAGCCTATACCGTATTCTACAGTATACGAGCAAGCTGATTGGTCCGCTCATACCTGTGTTTATTCCAACGCGTATGTTAAGCGTTTCACGAGGTAGATGTGGTATGCGAAAGCTTTTCAGTCCGCTAATCAATTCCAGTGAGAGATCACAAATGGCCTTTATATGCTCATGACCATTTCTGTTCGGGAGCCCCGACGAACAGAGGTATGCGTCTCCGATGGTCTCAACCTAAATAACTGCTATTTTTTTGGATTTTGCAGAACGTCCGTTTCCCACTTTATAGACATCATGCCGCCCTATGACTTCATCGAAAAATGTGTAAAGCCCGTTGAGAAGAGCAACAACCTAGAAAAAACACATTTTTTTCTTTATTCTCTTGTTGAATCCTACCTGCATAGGAGTGCCTTTGCTTGCTATTGTAGTAAATCCCACAACATCGGAGAAGAAAATCGATACTTTATCGAAATTTTCAGGTTCTATGGGAACGCCACCTTTGAGTTTCTCAGCTACTTGCCTAAATTGCACAAACACCCTTGAAAAATTGGCAGATTAAAGAAGGGGGATGAGGGGGGGGGGGGCAGAATTCTTGAAATCATAGATATGGATTAAAATTGCACAAATAATTTGTTTTCGCTTTGCTTTGCAAAGAAATATTCTCAGGGGGGGGGGGGAGAGATACAAATCTGCATACTTTGGCAACATCCTGTAGAGCAAAAGATCGCTCTTTTTCTTCTCAGCAACCAGTTCCTTCATGCGTTCCTCCACTTCTGCTTCCAACGAACTGGCATAGTTCTCGAGTGTATTCATAACATGGTCCATGAGATTCAGTTTTCTATAAATAAATTTTTCACTGAAAATTGAAAAATTCTGGTCCCGCCGCCTACTTTCCAGTCTGCATAGATGTGAGTAGCTGCTTAACTTTTTTCATGTCTGGTCGATGTCTTGGCCATTCAGACCAACACTCCCGTATAAGATGGATCTAAACACGTTTCCGGAATGAAATACGGTAGAGAATACTTAGCGGCATACCAGGGCAGGGGTGATTTCGATGGTTTCACTCTCAAGACTTGGCCGAACCGGATCCATACTTGCCTTTGTGACCAAATAGACAATCTCTGAATAATTTATGGAATTCAATAATTTTGTATTCTATGTTTTATATGAAGAATCCTGACGTACCTTCTGCGCCTTCTTTTCTGTTTTCCAAATCCCAAGCTGGCTTTTTGGTGACCAATTCGCTGGCAATTATGGCGTAACTAAATACAATTTACAGCGATGTCTACTTCCTAATGGCGATCTAAGAATTTTGTCGAAGGGGGGGGGGGGGAGGGACAGAAATTTTTCTCAAACTACTGAGCAAGTAGTCTAGAGGTGCTATTTACAAGAGCGTCCGATTCGGGACCCGCCGTGGTTCCCGCTATTGGAAGAATTTTGTATCGAGCTAGCGATTCTTTATATACAAGATAAAGGCGCCGAAAACTTTTTTGGATGTTGTCCAAATTTTTGGCTGTCCTATAACCTCACGATTTTTGGAAAATGGGGAGCTAGTTCGAATTTCAAAAACTTTCTCAATTATGCGAAGGTAGAAACAAGTCACTGCTATAACGCATGTGGGTAACACTGGAAAATTTTCAAAAATTCCGAACGCAAGGGTCGCGGGGGGGGGGGCTCGTAGGTGAGTCGCGATAAAAAACCATGGTAAAATACTGGACCTGTACACATCTCCTTCTTGCGTTCCCATCTCATCTGCTTCCCCGCGCAAAATTTCCGGTGCTGTCCACAACTGCTCTAAAAATTCACATAGTAATGTCTTCGATACCGTATTGAAACCGTATACCTTCTTGTGTTCGACGTTCGTATTCCTTTATGCATGACATTCCGTAATAAGATATTTTGACTTGCCAGCGATCATCAACAGTGCAATTCTGGATTAACGGGTTTATTTGACCCTGCGATAGAGAAAAAACTGAAAGAATTACCTGAGATGTAAGTCGCCCATGCTTGACCATGGGAGAAGTGTGAATGAAGTGCAATCCCTGCAAAAAAATAATAAAATAGGGAAGATGTTTGATGGAATTTTTCACTCCAAAAAAAATTAAGCGTATGAGAAGGGCGACCGTTTTGCACCACACTATGCTGTAAAACTGCGCTTGTATGCAAAGCGTCGCGGCGCAGCAAAGGTCGAATCCCAAATTGCGTCGGTGGGTCCTGCACGGACAACACCGCTGCAACGTTATATTTACGGCGCAAAACGGCCGGGGTCAACATAGATGAAATAAATATGACGCTGTTCTTCCCACTAGACAAGTAATGGAAAATTTAAATTTGAACTGGAGCAGACGACTGTGCTAGAGCATGGCACCCTCTGCTCTGAGTTTACCTTAGATGGTGCCGCGCTCTATTGCTAATGGTCTGCTCCAATTTATTTTTGAGCTTGTCCCGTAGATGTCTACCGAGATGAAGGACTGTATTTACCGCAGCGATATCCATCATCATTGACCGTATAAAGACGAAATCCATCGGTAAAGATCCCTTCGTGATAACTTCCTGGAAAATTCAAGATTTTCAAATGAATTTTACGTTTCCTCTGAAAAAAATTTCCATAAATAAATTTACCTGTAGCGTTCCTCTGGAGCAAAATTTCCACAATGAATACACTAGAGCGGTGTCGACGGATACACCAATAAAACGATTCAAATTGTCATGTTCAATTTGACGCATCTGCAAAAAAAATTATTTTTTTTCTAATAATTTGTTAACAGTCGCAAACCTTTCGAAACTCCGAATTTGTTCGGTCATCAAACCTAAGCAGAGTGGAATGCTTAAACGCAGTAAGCGGATCGTTTCCATAGTAGAAATAGCACATTTTCTCAGTTTCTGCTTTCGTATCAAGTACATCCGAGTGTGCTCCAGATATCGATGATGAAAACGATTGTGATGTGCTCTAAATGCAGAGTTAATAAAAAATTTTATTAGGTACCCTTTGATTCAACTGGCTTGGCGGCTGGAAGACGGGGCTTCGTACCTAATTGAGGCTAGGTAATGATCAGAGAGCACGCGCGCGGGAAAGACGCAGACTACGTCGCTGGCCCGAGCGGCCTTAATCAGGTTACAAAGCCCAGCCTTCCATCCGCCAAGCCAGTTGATCAAATGTCATGCCTAAGATGGGAGAAAAAGCTTACCTTAAACACGGGTTTTCTAAGTTTATGCGACGGAATCTTCCACAGAGCATCTTGTCTCCTTTTTTCGTTTTCTCTTTCTCTGCAAATAAGTGATTTATCAGTGTCGTTCTAATATGTTGTTCAGAGGGGGGGGGAGGGTCGCCCTTTGAAACATTTTTTGGATTTTTTCCGAAATATTTGTGACCTGTAACTCCGAATTGAAGAAGAAGGAGCGTGGCATTTTACGTATTAGGTTGATGCATAGTTCCTATACCAAGATAGGTACAGATCGCATTATTTCTTCTATATCCTAAATAATTCCTAATATACCTTTCAGTAGAGCAAAGTTAGCTCTGCAAGATTTGAACTGTAGAGGGACGGTTGCGGTAACTCTACAAGATAGTGCTTAAAGTTTTGCAACACCCTTGGTCCAAACGAAGATTCAAGCCAAAAGCGAAGAAGACCTCAGCGTCCCAAACAACCAAGAAGAATTTGGTCTGTTCAAAACTGGTCGAAAAATTGGTACAAGTCCGTTCAAATAAAATTTTAACTTGCTCATGTTGGCATCTTATATATAAAGCTGAATTTCTGTTTGTCTGTCTGTATGTCTGTCTGTCTGTATGTCTGTACGTATGTTCCGAATAGAAAATTCCATTTCTGAACCGATCCGGACCAGACTTGGCACACATACACTTCGGGCCCCGGCGGGTGTCATAGGCTACTTTTCGTCATCGATCGATATCGATTTTATCGATTTTTTGCAAATGTGTTACGGGGCTGGGAGTTGGCACAGGGGGGTAATCGAGCATGCTGATTACGAATATAATAATGACAGGGCCGGGCGGAGCCGAGTAAGTCAACTAGTTTTATATAAGACATTTTTTTCGGCCCTTTCTGCAATTTCTCTTAGCTAGAAATTGAGAAAACGAAGTTTTTCATGTTTTCCCCATTTTTTGAACGACGTAGCAAATTTGTTTCGATTTGGCTTGAGGTTTTCGAGACGATGGTTTTTTTAAATTTCCGCCTTGTAACACCGCGTGGATTAAAGCTGGTAGATATTAGAGCACCATCTTGTAGATCTAGGTTTGCCCTATTTAACGATGTATCTCTAATGATACAGCGGATCTATCAAGGATATAGGAGAATTCCGAATTATTCGGTAGGTACCTTCTTTGGTGCAGGAATTATACATCTACCTAATATTGAGAGAAAATTTCAGAAAGTATTTTAATTTCGAATAATAAACAATCATTTGACATATAGTTTTTAGCCTTTACTCCCCCGCCCCCGGTGTTTGCATGGAGGGATACGGTACTGGCACAATGACACATTGTTATCCACACAATCTCTTTCTCCACTGTCAGCATATCGTGGAAGCCGACGAAGAAGTCCCGCAGGGAATTTATGACCCTGATTCCATAAAAATGATTCTCACTTCAATGCGAAAATAATCACGACAGCAACAGAAAGTATGAGAAGTGCCGCTATGCATATGGCGGCTATTACATATCCTCGATAAGCGTTGAAGAACGACACCGGACAGTCTGATCCTGGAATGTTTTTTAGAAGAATTAAAGGTGCCCAAAGAGATTTGAATTTTTTTGTTTGGAAATCAAATGGGAGACCTCAGCTAGGCCCAAGACCCTAGTGGCAGCAATCGACCTCAACGTCCAGCCCAGACCGTAGTCTTTCCAAAACTGTACGGCTTGGGCTGCAGTTCAAGTACCAATATCTCGGCCTTGAATATATATCTTATGAGTTGCTGCTTAGGCAAGGGCTTAGCTAGGACCTACCAAATAGTTTCCACATAATAACCTCAGAAATGCTGTAATTTAAATTCTAACCTGTGAATCCACAAGCTGGGACAGTCATCGGTATGGGACGCCCATTGAAGACAAATTGGATCTCATTTTGTGGATCATAAAGCGGTATCAGGGTCTAAGGTATGATAAAGCATCATTTACTATTTAAATGCTCCATACATTGTAAACTTACCACATTGACATCAGCGTCCAGTTGAACTGATATCAATCTTTTTGGTTCAGCTGATCTTCCTACCCCGGTCACAATGAAGTATGGTATTCTAGACCCATCCCAAGCTTCAATCACATCACCGAGAGCTCCTGGTAATAATTGGAATGGAATCCAGCTACAGAAAAATGAACTGCACAACCTACCTGGATAAATACCCTTTGTTCTATTGAATAAATATGCTCCATCTCTAATATTCTGATTCAAAGGAATGGTTCTGTTCAAAACTCCTGCATAAACCATCATGGCATCATAAAGTTGCGTAGCATATTGGGCCATCTGGCAAGAAGCACTTATTTTTCATGACATTGTTTACTGTTGCTGTTTACCTCCCATTCCTGGCCGTTCACGCATCTTGCGCAAGGAATACCTAGTTCGGCTGTTTTTTTCGCCACTTGTTGCGTAAAATTGGCCAGTCCGGATTTCGAATCTCCGTCATTGTCCACCTAGACATACGGTGTATAACTTTTGATATGATCACACCCAAACGCATTGTTGAGGAAAATCTGGGTGCCCGGGTTTTCATGGAAGTGATTGGAAGGCTATATGTAGCTGAGCCACTAGCCAAACAACAGCCCAAATCATTCATTCATGACTAAGAAATATCACATGAAACTCCAGCCCAGACCGTATTGCTATCGTACCCCTTGGGGAGATCACGGTATGGGTTAGAGTTTAAAGTTGAATTTCTAAGCCGCGAACAAAGAGTATGAGCTGTCACTCGGGCAGAAATTAGAGCTTCACCCCCCCCCTCCTAATCACTTTCCATATAGGAAAGCCCACCCAAGTTTGCCCAACAATCCCAAATTTCTTACATCACTAAGCATAAACGTCCTTGTGAATGCTTCGAGTGCTTCTTGGTCGCGGCCATCAGGTGGAAGTGCCATATCTTGCCAAACGTAAATGGTACGGTTTCCAGTATTTGCATTTTCTGGGATTGAATTTTTTTAAAATAATCATATTTTTTCTAAAGTTCTTACTGTATCCGGAATCCAACAGATCCGCAAAAATGTAGATATATTCGTCATTAAGCATATTTTGATCCTTTGCTGTTAGCATAAACATTCTTTTGTTGTCTGGACTGTTTAGGCACACTACGACTACTGTAAAAGGTAGTAGATTATGACAAAAATGCAAAGTACAAAAGTGCCTTGACAGCATGAAGCTCTTACTTCTTGCCTGAGTGCTTATTTGTTGTAGAGCATCGGTCATTTCGGATACGGAATTGTTCCGCATCTCTATCACATTAGAAATACTGAAGTTGACATTTTGGAAGACCGCTTTCTGAATATTTTATTATGTTTTTTGAAAATATTTTTGTTGGAGTTTGTCCACAATAGACAACAAAATTTCAAAACTTTTAAGGATAGGCAGGATAGTATGTTAGGCAAATGCTTTATGCTAAGCTACATCAAGTTCTGGAATTTTGGCCTCTTCGTATTATTACCGTAACCTGAAATGATGCCGTATTATGAATAAATTGATAGTAATTTTGTGATTACCACTTCTGATCTTCATGTAAAAGTTTTTCGCAGACTTGTGGCTTTGAATTTTTAAGTTGTATAGAAATTAAATAAAATTCTTTTGTGCGTGACTCACCTGGACATCTGCCAAAAAAATTGGGCACTTTTGTGCATCTTCGCTAGCTGAGTAGATGAAAGCAAAAGCGTCCCAACTGAAGTGATCCATGACGGCTAGCAATGCTAAGCTCAACCTGCGCATAGAAGCAAGTTATTACAATTTTTTTTCTAAAAAATTCACCTACGTCAGATAATTCGGAGTAAGTACGACACATGTAGGAAATCTGATAGTATCCGCAAGTTCGTTAGCGGTTGTAAATCCCCATGTATAGAGCGGTAGATTGTAATATGCTGTAATGGCTCCAACAGAAATCGAGGCTAAAGTGCGAAATATTGAAGGAAGTCGGCAGAAGACTTTGGAAAAATAATCAAGAAAAAACTCACGAATATTACAAGTTGGACCAACGATTATGTCTGCTTTGAAGTCACGAATCAGCTCAAAAGCATAGCCAGCTGCTTGCCTTTCTATACAGTTATCGAAGCGGACAGTGACACTGGAAAATATTGCAAATTGGTAGGGTTCAAGAAAATTCAGGTATTTGAACTTCTTGTGTGGACACAGAGGACATAGCCAGAGCCATATTCCAAGTAGCAGTTCATATTGCCATTTATGGCCGAGAGGTACAATGCTCAAAGCTTGCCCAGTACTCGGTATTCTTCGCGAGAGGACCAATCCAATACGGTAGTGGGCGAGCATTCCAAATTGAATGTCTCTGCCATGAATAAGTCTTATGAGCTGCCGCTTGGTGTATGTCCTAATCAACGCCTCCCAGTCACTTTTCATCTAAGAAACCAGATACCCTAATTTGTTTGAACATCATTGTAAATGGTAAAAGAAACTTAAAGTTACTTGAAAGTGTAGCCATCCAGAAGTCGAGAGTCTCGAATGCTGTCAATCGCTAGATACAATGCTCCAATACTGCCAGTATAGCCGACATAAGGTGAATAACTTAAAAATGAATATTGTTCTTCTTAACAGGTTAAAGTGAACTTACATTGAATTATCATCGACAAATAGCGCTCCAACATTGATGACTTTTTTCCTTGTCGTTGCTACTGGGGGAAATAGTGGTACTTGCTGTGAGTTGACTACCTTGAAAGTCTATATACAGGGTGTCCCAAAAAAATGTATCGAACGTTTGATCGTTAATATCTCCCTTCCAAAGAAGTCTTTTCCCTTGCTTCAGATACCAATCTGTAGAGCTGGCTTCAACTTAGATTTGCATCATACAACGAACCACTCATCTCTCCTCATTACTATAGGATTACGGTAGAAACTTCAAAGAGGGTTTTAAGCAATGAAAGGCCATATTTGGCCCCAGAAAGGAAACAAAACAGCCTGAAAACTTTTACACTAGGCTAATTAGAGTTGCTGATTATAACTGTAAAGTTCCCAATTTATTATGATGCTTCATTGAAGAATTATGCCAGATAAGAGGTAGCGGCCATTTTTCTATGTTCCTGAAAAGTGCGGTTACACCGTTTAGAAAGCTTCGTAATCTTGTGAATAGTTGAGTATTGAACTCAGCGTCCATAAAAATCCCAATACACAAGTTTTCACATTTTTTTGAAAAATTTTGAAACAGTAGCTTTTTCCACATTGACACCATACGTTTCAAGTTTCTACCGTAATTCTACAGTAATGAAGAGAGATGGGTGACCCGTTCTATAATGCAAATCTAAGTTAAAGCCAGCTCTACAAATCGGTACCTGAAGAAAGGCAAAAGGCTTCTTGGGAAGAGAGATATTGACGATCAAACGTTCGATACATTTTTTTTGGGACACCCTGTATAAAACAAGTTTTACAGAAAATTTTACTTTGAGCGTACCTGAAATGAATATAGCAAAACAATCAACGCGACTATCATAGGCTTAGAGTAGATAATTATGCTGTTTGTGTTCTTATATTCACATGGTTACACAATTATTAGTTTTTCTTCTGATATCCGGATTCATAAGAAGCCCGTTGGCCCATAAACGCGCATATTCCTTACAGTAATACGAAAGCCGAGATTGTGTATCGAGATTTTATCACATGTTTAGGGCCCAATAAACATAAAACTCTCATCTGTCTGAATGTTATCACGCTGATGACGAGCAATTTTAAGGGTCTTTTCCTGTGGACGAGACGTTTTCGTGTATCTCTATTCCTGGTGCATGTATGTATGCATGAAATATGAAATATGCAAGCTCCGTCCTTGTGGCAAGCTCCGCCCACTTAAACAAATCGTCGGAAATTGCCCAAATTTCACGAATTCATGCGAATTCAGCCATTTTTTGAAGATTGGGCAGAGCTTGCCTGAAGGGGCGGGGCCATGATCAAGGGTGTTTGAGGTCTTTGCGTTCATCTACGGCCTCTCCTGTGCTTTTTGTGCAAAAAAAAAACGAACCTTGGAAGGGCATAGGAGTGGTCTGTTAAGAGGGGCGGGGCCATCATATCAAATACATCTGAGCCTATGTTGATTATATGAACACAAAATGAGAGGAATGAGCAGATAAGTTTGAAGTTAAGGCCCCGCGCACCACTGCGCGGCGTCGTCCACAGGGACAGACTGCCTGCCGCGCATCATTGCGCGGAGATGTCGTCAACGTGTTAACATCTCTTCCCTTAGGACTGTGAATCTGACGTTTCGACTATCGCCTTCTCCAAATCCTCGTGAAGAACAGAACATCTGATTTGGTTTACGCTAACATATCAACATATGCAAGAATACTTAAGAAGCACATCAGATTCTTGTCGGCCTAGAGCTGAGAATAAGTTTGATCAGTGTAATTTGTGCTACACCTATCGGCAATGTGGAACACAGTAAAGCTCGGTCAGCTCAGGTGATTAGAACTAGGAGAACACTTCAGGTTCGTAAGGTGAAAATAGGAGCGGCCACTTCCCCATGCCATAAAAATGCAACATGACCTGACAGGTGAAATGACTGTTTACTTACAAATGGTGAGTGTGAGTTATACGTCTGAAATGCCTGAAATGAAATTCTACAAATTTGTCTTAACTACTAAAGTGAGCTGTGTCCTAGGCCAAGACAAAAGCCTTTTGTAGTCTTTAAACTTTTCTTGCAGGTGGTGAGAAAATAAATCTAGCAATCTGAGCTATGTAGTCTCTGAGGAAGAAGGCTAGCCAAAGCATTAGTCGAATAAGCGGTTTAACAATGTCGGTTGCGACTAAAGCAACGGAAAATCTAACAAGAGAAGGATACTTGGTCGAAGTGGTGTTTTCAAATAAAATATATACCATTTATTAGAGCATGAAATTCTGAGTTCGAGTTTGCCTTCAATATCTGCAAAGCGCTTCTGGGAGGTGAGTTATGGGAACTAGTGCCAGAACGCTTTAAGTAATGGCCCTTCATTATAATAAACTCAAGCCACTCATCACAAATTTCAAACACCGGGAAGATCACAACACTGTTCTTATTTCAGTCAGACGGTTGATTTTAGAAAATCCTCACAAACACCCTCCTAGAAGCACAATGCAGGTAACGAAAGCAGTTTCGGAATCAGCGTTTCATACTCTCTAAAACCGTCTTCAGTTCATAGAGAAACATTACTTCAGCCAAGTATCCTTCCTTTTGAGTCCTACGCCATAATATACTGTATGTGGTATATGGGACATTCCCGCCTAGTATCAGCAATTGCTAGAAAATAGCTACTTTTCCAAACCGATTTGATACGCGTTTTCAGCGTTTTTCTAATCATAACTTTACGTTTAATGCTTTCACATTCCTCAGAAGTCTATTATTCCAAATCTCATTTTTAGGCTATTTGCTATATTTAGCCTCAAGAATGCCATCCAGTGCTGCTGATACTCCTTGCTATCACGTATGTCAATACAGAAGAGACAAGTAGAACAGGTCAATATGTCGTAGTGAAGCACCATTTGACTCAGTCGAACTGAGCTGTTCCACGAAGGAAAGAACTTGCGACGATTAGTTCCATGCTTTAAGTTGAAACTTGGAGTCAGGAGTCGAGTGAGAAGATATCCAGTCAAGTGCCACGGGTCACCTCAATGTGCTGCCCTTAAGTCGAAGATAGGTCGTAAGCTGAAGAGTTGTTGAGCTGCGTTTAGGTAATTCACGGAACATAAAAGTGACTAATCCGGTCTGAAATGCACAAAAATGCACTGTCTCGAGCTTGCGGATAGAGGGTATTGATGAACTGTTGATATAGGCTATTAGTTTGGCTCGAAAGTTCTGGGACATTTTTAGACGACATCTGCTATTTCTCAAAACTTACTGCATGTACATCCGACAGAGGTACCATTCGACAGGGCAAAGCAAGCTCTACAAGGAGTTATGCAAAAGTTGGCACCAGCTTCACCCCAGCGTAAGTTTGAATCCAGAATCTGGAGTCCTACTGAAGAGTCGTAAAATTGGGAAAAATCAATATCTTCATCCATAACACTACTGATCTCCAAGTTGCTCATGCAGTTTACACCCACATCAGAAACCCATATGTATCATTGCTGTATATTTTGCTCATCTAGAAATCGAAAAATCGTAAATTTTCATGTTTATACAAAAACGAAGCTAAGCTGTTCGCACTCAGTGATTGTATAGTGCAATCCCTTGGAAGTATAACTGTATATTTTCAGGCTTCTAGGGGCCCTAGTTTTCCAAAAATATTGATTTAGCATGGAACATCCGAGTGAGGAAAGTTTAATTCGGTAATTTTTGGAAATCAGGGCGTGTAGAAAGCTGAAATTTCTGGTTATACTTCTAAGGGATTGTACTATACAATTTAAGTGGGAACAACGTAGCTTTGTTTTCGTATAAACATGAAAATTTACGTTTATTCGTTATTCTAGATGGGAAAAAAATACAGCAATGACACATATGGGGTTCTGATATGGTGTATAATCTGCTTGAGCAACTTGGAGATCCGTAGGATTTATTTGAACGAAGATATGAATTTTTTGCAATTTTCTAGCGTTCAGTACTACTCAGATTCTGGATGCAAACTTACGCTGGGGCGCTGATGCGAACTTTTGCATACACTCTTTAAGATCTTGCTTTGCTCTATCGAATGGTACCTCTGTCGGATATGCATTGAGTTCTGAGAAATAGCAGATCTCGTCCAAAAATTTCCCAGAACTTTTGAACCGACCTAATAGAATATAGGTCTCCTCCTTTTTTGCAGAGTTTGCTTTTGTTTTTGTTTTGGAAAAGAGCATAGAATGAGAATTTTTTTCACATTTTATTCAATTTGTGTTGCTATATTAGGTCATTCCGAAAGTAATTTCGCTTTTTTCAAACGGGCGCCACATCTGATGGAACAAAGGTTTCCAAGAGATCCTGGAAGCATTCGATGCAGCATTTCATTCTCTTTCTAATGGTTATGAAAGTTTTGTAAAACAGTCAATACGCTTTGGGAAAATTACCAAAGTCTGCGACCTATACTTTTTGAGATAGTCAAGTTTCACAATTTTTTAAAACTTTTATATCAATCCTCAGAAGGAGTTCAAGTAAAGATTCGATAGAGTAAAGCTCGTAGAATACAGTGCTACTTTTTTCCCTTTCTCGTAGCTCGCCGTAATTTTTTAAAAGATTTTTTAGCAGAACCATCGAATTTTGGCAAGCCCACTTCAACCACAATCGCATCAAACATCATAATTTTTCGGAATTTGAGACTATCAAGATGGTACTATGAATTAGCATTAATATTACAAAGCAAGTGAGGGTTTACGGGTTCGAAATATCAAATTTCGAGTTTTTCGGGTACAGCCTGGGGCTCCCTAAAAAAATGAGTTATGATGATTTTATCCCCGGAAGTAAACGAATCAGAAACAAAAAACACCCATCAGAAAGAGGAGAAAAAGCTGCATCGATCGACACCCGAGCTGCTCAAGGTTTGATGTTCTACTAGGATTCAGCTGTCCAAGTATGGAAATCGGTAGCATCAGTTAAAATTCTGTTAAAAATGTATGACAAGCTATGGAAAAGAGAAAAAAGTTGCTCTGTATTCTATGAGGTTTGCTCTATCGAACCGTTACTTGAGCTTCTTCTGAGAATTGATATGAAACTTTTGAAAAATTGTGAAACTTGACTATCTCAAAAAGCATAGGTCGCAGATTTTGGTTATTTTCTGAAAGCTCATTGACTGTTTTGCAAAAATTTCATAATGATTGGAAAGAGAATGAAATGCTGTTTCGAATGCTACCAAGATCTCTTAGAAACCTTTGTTCCATCAGATGTGGCGCCCGTTTGAAAAAAGCGAAAATACTTTCGGAATGACCTAATAATTTGAAAGTTCTATGAAATTCCGTCAAAATATCATACTTTTTTCGTACGTTCTCTGTTTGTAAAACCTGGGCATTATGTCATATATTCAGTAGCTTTCTTTGCCAGACAGGTTTGATATAAATGTTTTATTCGGCCTAAACTTTCGGCACTAATGCCTTCCTCAGGGGCCTGAAAGTCAGTCATTCACCTTAATCTTGCATACACGGCCAAACCTCTCCTCTAGACTCGACTATTCAATTCATTCTAAGTGGACATCAACGAGTATCCAACTCACTACAACTCAGCAGAGGTCACGCTGATAATGTGCTTCGAGGGCAGTGCCTAGATTCACCCAGAGACGACAAGAGTATAAACGTGGCCCTTTTAAGGATCTGTTGATATGGTGGGCGTTATAGTTGGCAATATGACAAGAACGGCATAAGATCACTTGTGATAGAAAGTTGTTCATTTTTGCCATTCATTTTGGGCTCCCTGGATAGAATGAATGACGCCTCCAAGGCTTTACGAGCAGATATTTTTGTCTCTAAAGCCAAGTGCGTTGTATTAGAAAAAACAGCCTGTCTGGCAAAGAAAGCTACTGAATATCATATTTTGCTTTACTCAGGGCGTGTAGAAAGCTGAAAATTTCTGGTTATACTTCTAAGGGCTTGTACTATTCAATTACATAGATGGAAACAATGTAGCTTTGTTCTTGTATGAACATGAAAATTTACAGTTGATAATCGTTTGAGCTTGCTAAGCGTCGACCAAGATATCAGCCACACTTTATTTACGGCCAACGTTTCGGCGGGATCGCCTTCGTCAGAGATTTCAAAGTAAGACCAATTATAAGCAGCGTTGCAGGCCCCACCGACAGAATCGCTTGGTTTTTGAATATCATACTTGTACAATTGCTAAAATATGTCCCCGCTCATTTATCAAACACTAATATGCTTCTAGAGCGTCTCCGGGGCACACAACTGATCCCAGATTGTGTGGTGGAATCATTCGATGTAACGTCCTTATATACAAATGTATCGAATGATGCGGCGATGCAAGCGATTTACGAACTCCTCTTAGAGCATCAAAGTTCCCTAAACCTGTACGGCTTCAGTATCAGTAGCATCATGACCCTTCTAAGCGAATGCTTAAAGTGTTCCATATTTAGGTGGTCAGGTCACTACTATAGGCAGGTTCGGGGTTTAGCGATGGGACAGCGATTAGCGCCAACTCTAGCCATTGTTTTCATGTCTAAAGTAGAAGCGCCCGTGCTTTCGAGGGAACCATTGCTATATTGTCGCTATATAGATGATTGCTTCATCATTTGTCCGACGCAAGCCGAGATGGATGTTTGTTTCAATCTTCTAAACCAACAATACCCAAACATTAAGTTCACGCGGGAAAAGCCCAGGGAAAATTGGCTACCGTTTCTCAATGTGCAAGTACGGCTGTGCGGTGGGGAATATAAAACTAGGTGGTACCGCAAACCCAGCTGCAAAAACATTTTAGTACATTATTTGTCTGCGCATCCCAGCAAGCTTAAAAAGGCGGTTATAGGGAACATGTATCGGACAGCAGCAAAAGTGTCTTCGGGCGTGCAGGAGCGAATTTACTCTATGGACTTAGCTTATCAAGTAGCTCAGTCTAATGGGTATGCCGGTGAGCCTATCCCAAACCCTCGCGGGTTTGTAGGACGCAGAGCCAGTTCCGGCAGCCCGGATGCGCCACTAACCAAAATTAGTTTCTGCTTGCCGTTCGTATCGGATAAGATAAGCGCGGCAGTGCGGCGATGCGTACATCTCGCGGGTTTGCAAGACGATGTCAGGGTGGTCGATATACCACCCTCGAACCTAAAACGTCAATTGGTCCGAAATCGATCTTACGATCGTACATGCCTAACCCCAGCTTGTGTCGTTTGCCCATTTGGCAAAGAGGGTGATTGCATGATCTCCGGGGTTATTTATCTCATCACATGTTTATCGTGTGGTGATACGTATATTGGAGAAACAGGACGACCTCTTTGCTGCCGTGTTAAAGAACATCTGGATGGGTTAAATAAACTGAAAGCAGTTACGCCGTTAGGCAGCCATCGCATTTCGTGCCATGAAAATGCTGAGATCAGTATTGGAGTGCTATATTGGCGTATGAGCCCGACCTCCTAGCGCGCAAAACTTTGGAAGCATTCTGGATCAACACCAAGAATCCAAAGATGAACCGGAAGGAAGAGTGCATAGCCATCACCAATGAACTGGCGCCATATCAATACCTCTGTGGGTTTTGATATGAGGTCAGGTCACCCGAGCACTATAAATAGGGGAGGAGGTATAGTGTGAGTATATGGTGGTCTAACACATCATCACACGTTATCGAAGGTGAGTCTTGGTTACCCGATCTCCCTTTGCCTTTGCCTCTCTCCAATTTGACTTTCGTCTTGAGCTGAGATCTTGGCGTCTAGGAGAATGTTTCACTTATGTTTTCGACTTTCTAGGCTCTGACGAAGGCGATCCCGCCGAAACGTTGGCCGTGAATAAAGTGTGGCTGATATCTTGGTCGACGCTTAGCAAGCTCAAACGATTATCAACTGTTGATGCCAAGATTAATAAACAACCGAAGTTGGACAATATGAAAATTTACATTTTCTCGATATTCTAGATGAGAATAAAATACAGCAATGATATATGTGGGTTTCTGATGTGGTGTATAATTGCATGAGCAACTTGGAGATTCATAGAATTTATTTGAACGAAGATATGAATTTTTTCCAATTTTCTAGCCTTCAGTACTACTCAGATTCTGAATGCGAACTTACGCTGGGCCAAAGCTGGTGCGAACTTTTGCATACCTTCTTTCAGACCTTGCCTTGC